GGAGCCCAGCACTGCCCTGTACCCACACCAAATACAGTGATGGGACATCCAGCCATGAACCASCCCTTTTTGGGTTACAGCAGTGAGCTTCTCTCGCTTCCCAGAGAGGCTGAGATCCTGAAGGAAGCTCCTGAGAGGTGGCATTTCCCTGGGAGCCACAGGCTCCATCAGATCTCGTCCTCCCAGATTCTGCCAATGCTACCAGCTCAGGCCTGAGAGAGCTGCACCCAGCACCTCCACAGCCCAGCAGGCATTGCTGGCTTCTGTCCAGCACCTCTGTTGTGCACCTGATTCATGTTTGTCACCTTCCCAGTTCAGGCTGTGCCATGATCCCACTGTTTTCCCAACATTTCTCTCATCCCCTCTCACACACTCCCATGACAGAGCACCACAGGAGCTGCTGGGTGCAGTGCACGAGGGGAGGAGAATTCCTGTAGCAACACCCAAACTATTTCTGTGATCTATGCATGACAAACATTTGGCACAATCCATCGGTATTTATCAGCAGGACTAATCCTTCCTACCCTTGGCTGGAGGCACCARAAGCCCCCAACACTTTGGGAATATGGGATGCAGCACAGAGGGATTTTGCAGATATGCATTTCCATGCAAGGGGCATATTGTGTCAGTGGTTTAAAAGAGAAACGTTCCATTTTCCAGGTTTTATCAATTATTTCTAAGAGGTGAGAAAAAMCAGAATTCTCATTTTTCATTTTTAATAGGAAAATTTAATCTACAGTTTCCATCCTTACAACATGCACGGGAATGGTTAAGTAAATAATAAGAATGACAAGGTTCTTCTCTTTCTATCACCAAAAGATGGCAAAACCATCCATGTGGGCATCTTTTGGTTCTGAGAGACCAAGGTCACAAAGCACCTCCTCCACAACAACCTGCAGCCAGCAAATTGGAGAATTCCACAGGCAGGATCAGCTGAGACGGGGAATCAGCTCCTTCCTCACGCCGAGTTACCGTAAGGCYCCGACGCCAGCCAGAAAGGATTTGGAGGAACACGAAAACCTCAGCAGATAAAGTCTCCACATCTGCTCTTGATCCAGCYCAGAGATAGCAAAACGCCAAGCAGCCCAAGATTTAAGACAGAACATGGCTCCACATCCAGAACGCCTCTGAAGCCCGAGTTACGCGTTCCCCAGGGGGTTGCACTTTCACTTTCCTAAATTGCCTGCATATTTGCTTTTTTCTGATGGCAGATTAGGAACCATGCATTTCCTTAAACCGCCAGCTTTGGGCCAAGACACACACGCCCTGCCTGGAGCTCTGCCAGCCCACACTCGCTGAGGCAGAGCTGGAGAACCACGTTCCAGTGYGAGCTGCTCCGAGGGGAGCCCAGGAGCTCACACAGACCCAGCTCTCCCAGCCCAGGCAGGCTGTTCCGAGGATGAACAAAAACTAAATGAAAGAACTTTAGATGCAATGCAAGTGTGGCAGCGCCACGATTCATCCCAGTGAAAAAATCACGATCAAAAATCTGCAGCCATTTCAGGGTTTAAACGGGCATGAAATGAGCAAGCAATTAATTTCCTGCACGAGGAAGRAGAGCAGAGTTCAGTATCACCAGCACTGCCAACATGTACAAACTCCTTACATGTCCTGGGATAAGTGGTATTTCCCCTAAAGCCTCRGCTTCCAGGACCCCACGATGGTAACACGATGCTCCTCCCGGCCTGGCAGGGACAGCCTCCTCCCCACAGGCACAACCTGCTTTTTCCAGCAGCACCAGGAGATCTGGGAAGCAGCAGAGCGCCAGCAGAGTGGAGAGACACGGTTCCTCCCCTGCTCATGGCAGCACAGGCACCTCCAGCTCCTCCTGTTTGCAGAGGGAACCCAGAGGAGGCAGAAAACTCCGGAGTGCAGAGCATCCCCACCCTCACACTAGGCTTGTGCCTCAGGGACCCCCAGCTCAGCTTCTGGATCCTGACCCAGAGCCGGACCAGAGCCCTCTGACAAAAAGGGGAATGGCAGCTTGGAGGA